CGCGCGAGGGACGCTCCCCCGCCCAGCCTCTGCCGACGAGGGCTCCAGCCGCACCGGCCTGGCAGCCGGCTACCCGCGCCGCTGGGTTCAGGGGAGCAGTGGCCCCGCGGTCCCTCCTGCGGGGGCTGCCCGGCGGTCCGACCCGAAAAAGGTGCGGGGTCGCGTTGCTGCCCCCTGGCGGGTTTCAGCCTCCACACCAGAGAGCAGCGTCTCGGTGGGGGCCAAGCCGGGGTGAGGACGGGGCCGGTCCACAGACAGCTGACTGGGGGAGAGGGTCGGCGTGCAGTTATTCAGGCCCAGAGAAGAGGTACCTATTTTTTAATGGCTTTGGCTTTATCGCATGAAGCAGGCACCCTCATTTAAAGGCACTGAGTCCTCTTCTGCCCACCTCCTGGGTCTCTGAAATCTAGTCCTGAGTTCCAACGAGATAACTGCAGGCAGCAACATTAGGCCTGTGGCTTAGAAGCGCTGAGGCAGCCAGACGGGGATGGCTTTGCTGTCCTGCAGGCATCAGACACCTAGGGCCCGCCCTGGCCACAGGAGGGCCAGAGTCTGGGAGTAGCGGGCAGCTGAGCTGGTCCTGAGAACAGACAGTTCAGGTCCCCCAGAGCCCACGTGGGGCCCTGCCAGGGCTGTGTGGTCATTGTCCCAGGTCCCTGGGCAGCGTGAAGTCCCTGAAGCTGTAGAAGGAGATGTCTCCATGATCCACGAGGGCAAAGATGAGCGGAACATCCCCACTCTGGTAGGACAGCCGCTTGAGGGTGTGGAGATCTGGGACTGGCTCATCAAACCTGCAGGATAAAGGTGAGATGGAGGCCTGGACGCAGCCCACCCATAAGCTGTGAGGTTCCAGGAAGGGGGCCTGGAAGACCCTTGGGTTTCTCCGTCTGCAAACTGCTTAGCTCTGGTAGCTCTCCAGAGGCCCCACTGTGCAGGGCCCAGAGGCCAGGTGCTCACATCCCTCCCGGATGAGCCCAGGGTGAAATGGCGCAGGAGGGCAATCACTGAAAACCCAGAGGCGAGAGCCAGGGCTGGAGCCTTGGGTTCCACAGTACGCTGGTGGTGCGGTCTCGCTTCCCTCACCTGCTCTCTTTGGACCTTGTGCTCCTCTCAGGGATTGGCAAACTGGCCAGGGACATGGAGAGGAGGTCCACATGATTTAAAAGAACAGGCAGCAGCTGGGGGTAGGGGTTGCCAGTCTCATACCCACTAATGCACATCCGGGCATAGGGCTTGCCAGGGTTATTCTTCCGGAATGTGGCCACAGCGTCTGCCTGGTAAACATCAAAGGCAATCTCCAAGCCCCCGGGTGTCTCCAGCAGCCTTAGGACAAAGTGAGAAACCTCAGGCAACAGGGACACTCTGCCCCACCTTTCTTCTCCACGCCCCCTTTCCTGCCCCAGTTCCTGGAAGCAGTCTCTTCAGGGCGCTGAGGGCCTGCTGTGAGGTGCCCCATCTCCACACCCTCCCCTCTTGTCTATCGCACTGCCCTCTCCCCTAAACACAGGAGTACTGGCTGATGCTTGGAACTAGGCCTGTGGCTGGGGGCCCCCTGGAACGATCTTCTTACGCTCAACTTCAAGAGTCAAATTCCCGCTGGGACCTGCTGGTAGCACCAGAGTCCCATGTGGACAGGCACAGCTGGAAACTCACCGGGCACCTCCGTCAGCGAGGTGTGTCGTCTGCAGCACAGAGATCTGCTGAAGGACCATGGCTGCAAGGACAGTGAACATAATATTAGCCTTAGGGAGGAGACCCGTCTGTCCACAAACTCCCTGGCACTTCTGAGTCTGCCACCTGCTTGGATATTGTCAGATTTAGTAAAATTTTGTTAGTATTGCTGTGTCCCATGCAATATCTGACACATACTTAACTATAAAGACTAGATGTTTACCTGAAATTCAAATTTAATCCCTTTGGCAACTTTAACATGGTGACTTGCCATCCATCAGGTTCCCAGAAGGAACCTGAATCTGTGACTGTCACTCTTGTCCTACTAGTTCCCGATCCTTAACGTGCCAGGCACATGTAAGGCTGAGCCATCACTCCTGGGTCCCTTCTAACAGCCAGGGTAACGGGGGGCTCACAGCTAGCTGGGGCAGGATTCCTCCACACCTTGTTTGTAATTTTAAGTACGTGGGTTTTGTTTGCATCCCACCTTGCTTCTCCCTGGAGCTAACTGCCATCTCTAAACCTCAAAAGTGTCTTTTGACACTTCCTCGGAGAACGGACTCCCCGCCCAGTGCACTCTTGTCCACCATCTTTCTAAGCTCCAGTCAGTCCTGCTCAGTGTGCCTTTTGAAGTCTAGTGATCCTCAGCTGCCAGTGGCCTGTGGAGGGGGTGAATACCTGGACTGTCAGCCTGGCTGGGACTCAGCAGCGGGGTGACAGGTTGGTCCCACAGATGTGGGGGGCGGGGCTGGATCTTCTGTAGGTACCGTCTCTGCAGCAGCTCCTTGTACTCGGACCAGCTGGAGCAGCGCCGCACCTCGGGGTCTGAATTTATGTCCTCCCGGAAGTGCTGGGCCTCTGCCATCTGCTCCTGCTCCTGCTCCCACCGTGAGAGCTTCTCTTTCCGTTGGTTTAGCTTCTGGCACCAGGGCTCAGCATTCATTTCCCGCCCAGCAACGCTGGCTGGGAGCAGCTCAGGGGCTGGGGCAGGCAAGAGGGTGTGGGGGCTGTCTGCAGCCATGTTGGGGAAGGAGATCTGCTCAAAGTCCCAGCGAGGCTTTCGAGCCTCCTCGACCCCATTCTCTACTTTGCCACTGTGCTCCATCCCTGTGCTGGCCGGACCAGGACAGGACTCCAGGGAACCCCTTAGCTGGAAGGGGTGTCCTGGGCATGTGACAGGGCTTGATTCCTGCTGTTTCTCCTCCAGGCACAGGCTGTTTTGGTGGCTCAGGGGCGGGCTGGAGGTTGCCAGGTTCCTGGGAGTCCCATCCACCCCCTGCAGGGGGCTCTCCAGGCCCTTGGGCTTCTTATTAACGGACCTGAGGGTGAGGGGAGGAAGCAGCACACCTGCCCATCTGCTGAGATATGCACCTCCCAGCTCAGGCCCTTGCGTTCTGCAAGGCCCTGAGCCTGGTGGCTCTGGCAGGCAAAAGACCACATAGGGAACTTACACAGAGCTGCAACTACTCCTCTTCCTCTTGCCCTTCCGATCTTCCAAGCGCTGGGCACTGCCATCCAAATTCAATTGCCTTTCATAAGGGGATAGGATGGAGCTGTGGAGTGAGAACAGGTAGGTGACAGGTCACCTACTCAGCCCGGTGCCCACTGGGATTTGGAAGGACTCTGAGAGGACAAGTCTTAGGCAGAGCCACAGCCAGGGCTAAGGTCCTGGCAGACCTGCCACAGGGCACAGAGGGTGAACCGTGGGCCTTTACCCAGGCTTCTGGGGTGAGCTCTCCAGTGGCACCTTTGAATTGGAATCAGGGCTCCTGCAGAGCCAGTGAGAAATGGTTAATCACTGGTGAGGAAACTACAGAAAAACAAAGATGGAGACAAAACCCATGGATACCACTGTTGACATTTTGATTTTATAAGTAGGTACATTTAGGGCCTCCCTGGTGGCACAAAGGGTTAAGTCTCAGCATCAAGAAGCTACCCGGGGCCAGGGAGCAGATCCACATTAGTGCGTCATAGGGAGCAGCAGACTTCTCCTGTCTTACCCACTGCTTCCCTCAGCAGTGATTTCAGTAGATCTACCTGTTCTGCTCCCCACTCTGTCTCTGTTGAAACCTCTCACTCCCTGAACCTCACCTGCACCCCAGTTCTTATATGTGTAAGTAAATAAACCTTTAAAAAAAAATACACCTAGGGCAGCCATCTCAGTGCGAGTTCGATCCCAGGCCCTGGAGGTGACCCACATGGCACCGCAGATCTCTCCTGTCTCACCCGCTGCTCCTCTCAGCAATGTACTTCATCAATCTGCCTGTTCTGGTCCCCACTCTGTCTTTGGTGAATCCTCTCACCACCCCTGCACCTCTGGCCTGTACCCCAAATTGTACTGTGTAGTCCTAGCTGCACAGTACATTGGATGGCATGGAAAGAAGTAACCAAGCAAAAGGAACACAAAACCCTACTCAGCTGCTAACTCCTCTCTCGGTCATTCCTCCATGTGGGCCCTCCACCAATCTGCTTACTGCCTACCGAGCACCAGGCGTGTCCTGGTGCTGCATCGAGGTGCTCACAAGAATTCCAGCATTGCCTGTGGGGTGACTAGGCTAAAGATGGGTCTCACTCTGGTCACCCTGAAATGACCCAAATTCATCCCAATGTGCCATATGATAGAGCACTTCTGGCTGAGGCCCCCAGTCCATGGCCAGGAAGCCGCCACCCCGGCCAGTTTTCAGATAAGGAAAGGTCACGTTCTGCTTGGGGCCAGCCAGCCAGGTCCTAGGACTAGAGCAAATGGGAGGGAAACGGGATACGATCTACCTTGGTTGGAATCGTCGTACTACGTAGCCCAGTCTCTTCAAGTGGCTGAAGACCTCAAAAGAAAAAACAAGCGAATGTCAGACTCCCCCCATAAAAAGCACCAATTTCTCTAGACAGAAGCCATTCCCCATATCCCCTCCTGCACACCCCAGATTCCACACTGGAGTGGACCAATCACACTTATAAACACCACCCCCTTCCCTATAAGGTCTCGTCTCTGAATTCCTATCTCGTGCCTACCCAACTATGGAAACACTTGACATTTAGCAGTTTTGGGGTTTAAACGCAAATCCCAAACAGTTGATAGCTGATAGACCAGAACTAGGCCTTAGTATTTGATACAAAAGCTGATGAAAATGAAGCCCCGGCTACAATCTCGACAAGGAGGAGAGGCGATGGGCACCCTCACCACTGTCGGCTGTGACTGGATCGATACAAGTGGGACACAGCTGAAATGTCCCCATCTCTCTGCAGCTGCCAACACAGCACCTCCTGCTTCTGGAAGGTCACCTCCCCTTTTCCTCCATCCTCGCTTTGCTCCTCAGTCTCTAGTTTCTTTATCTTGCCTCTGACTCCCTCCTGTGGAGTTGCCCAGGCCTCAGAGGAAGCCCTCCCCTGGGCCACATCCCTGGGCTCATGACACCGGTGTTTATGTCTCAAGCCTGATGGCCTCCCCTCCCCCACTCCAGACGTGTTAGCCCCACTGTCTTCCTGACAGCCTCACTTGGCTGTCCAAGCACCTCAAAATGAACCTCTTGTAAGTGCCACGGGAACACAGCCCTCAAGTGTCTCACTGTCCCCTACAAGGCTCTGCGCTTAGCACCTTGCAGCTACTTCCAAATACTCATTGACTGGGCGGGTGGCTCCGCTTCTGGAAAAGGGTGGCAGATACCTGGTACTGCAAGAAAGTCACGGTGTCCTCGGCCAGCAGCAGCTGGTAAGCCTCCTGGACAGACAGCGGCAGATCCTGGTGGAAGAGCTGGATACAGCCCTGTAAGGAGTCCAAGAGCTCAGCTGTGCACACTCCTTGCCTGGCTTTAGCCAGTGGGACAACTTTCCAGCTCCGAAACCTGCCACACCCCCCAGCCCGGCACCACAGGATTCAGCCAAGAGGGAAGCGGTGAGGGGGGCTGGAGTCCCTGCTCCCTGCAAGGCTGTCTCCTGTTCTAGAAGTTGGGTTACCAGCCCCCGGATATTCAGTTGTGTGTAATCTATAAAAATGCGTCCTCCCGGCTCCTCGGCCCAACCTGCTCCACCCCTCTCGGGGCCCCACTCACACACTCCAGCAGATACAAGGCCTCTTCGGGGTGAAGCCGCTGCCGGCCCTGCTCGGAGAAGCCCATAGTCTGCCAGAATTTGCCCTGTGTGGGACCCAGAGGAAGTCACAAAGGCGCCTGGGGCGCGGGGAGGGCGGCTCCCCGGCCCCCGAGCCCCGCCGCTCACCGCGGGAGACCGCAGCTCCACGAAGCCCTCCTCCGGCCTCCACTCCGCGGACACCAAACTGCCCCTGGCGACAAGTGAGGGGGCGCGCTCGCGAGTCTGCCCCGAAGTTGACGGGGGCCGCCCGCCAGGCCCGCCCGGCCCGCCCCCTTACAGGCGCTCCACGCGCTCCTCCGCCAGCAGCTGCCAGAGCTCCTGGCGGCAGAGGCGCAGCCGCTCGGCTTGGGCGGCCGAGCCGTCGGGGAGGAAGTCCTTGGGGCCGTGCGAGCGCTGGGGCAGCTTCTGGGACCGCGAGCGGGCGGCGAGGAGCTCCCGGGCGCTGGGGAAGAGGGGGCGCAGGGTCAGCGGCGCGCAGTCCGGCCCGCTTGACCTGCACCCCGGCTCCCCGGCGCGCGCCCACCCACCGGCCCCCGGGCCTTCTCCGGCAGCGCGGTACCTGAGGAGGCGGCCGGCGGGAATCTCCACAGCCGCGGAGTCGGGTGCGGGCTCCATCGGGTCGCCGTCTGCGGCTGCGCGC